ACCAACTCTCGAACAACCAACATAACTATGTATTCCTTACGCCTTTATTAATTATTTTTTCCCAATAATTAGTCCTAAAACATTTCAAAATTTATAATACATATAGATAATAATTCATATGTTAAAATGTCCCTTCTGTATTATATTTCTCTGATTATTCTTTGTCAAGTACAGTTACGCCCTTTTTGAGAGAATGAAACAATGTACGATTTACTAAATGTCGTGATTAATTAGCGTAATTAATTCGTTCAATTATGTAAATCGCACTTCAACTGAGTATACCCCGATAAACCAGACGTATTTCATAGCGGTCCGGATTTCTTTCTTTAATAGTGTTTATATAAATTTCCAGTTCAACATATAACTATGTAAATATATAGTGTTTAGTAGTTTAGTAGTAGTGCTAGTTGTTTTTGGTTTTTAACTTTTTTCTTTGTCCTGAGGAAGGGACAGAGCGTCCCGAAAACTGTTGGTCATTTTTAGTGCTTTATATACATCTTCCTGTGCCTATATTTTTTGAAAAAAAATAGCTGCAGCAGGCTTATAGAAAACAATTTGAGTACAGTAATGGGAGGACGACTCATAGAAATTTAAGTAAAAGTCATCAGGTTTTATTATTAAAATCAAGTCTAATGATGAGTTTACAGTTATAATCTCTCTCTCTCTGTCTCTCTATAACTCTCTCTCTCTCCAAAATAAATATATAAATCTAAAATACAACCCGGAGAATTAAAATAAATAAATATTAAATAATATTTTAATTATCATAATAGATTTACACAGCACATTCACATGTTTTGCTTGTATGTACTGTGCTTAGATTTATATCGAATTAAATAAACACGTTCGATCTTATATCCCACTCGACAGATCAATACGCTATTTTGATTGGTTGATGCGCTGATTGGTTAATCGCTTATCCTGATTGACAGCTCTGTAAAGAAATACCGAACCCGCGTTCGCTCTCTGGGACCGCTACTGAATTTGGGGTTCGCACTCTGGGTCCGCTTCGGGTTCGCTCGGGGTCCGCTACGGGTTTGCTTTGGGTCCGCTCTGGGTTCACTCGGGGTCAGCCCTAGCGGACCCCGAGCGGACCCGGAGCGGACCCAAAGAGCGAACCCGGGGTCCGCTCCGGGTTCGGTTTCTGTTAGGTTGTGTCCCGTCGGTACTGTACATGTACGTGTATTGAATTTCATAAATTATTGCATCACTGTTTGTGCCAAAGGCACTTGAATATAGAACATTAAGTATACCTTTTATTCTCATAAAATCTTGGATGGGAGGTGAACAGATAAATGAAATACACATTGCATTTTTTGTTTTTTTTGTTCTAATGGTTTTTGGTGTGTTCTAATAATAATCATTCTTGTATATCCTTAAATCAAAGCATTAATCCTTCAATTCAGTTCATAAAGTACTTCACAAGTTCATACAAGAGAGTGCAAGGCTAGAGATACACGAAAGAAAAGTTGAGTCTCAAAGTAGTTTTGCAATGAAGCTAGTATAATTTAAGCTGAAATAACATAGATATTTCCCGTAAGGAAAAAAATGGAAGAGGGCTACGTTATTGAAGCAAGTATAATTAAAGCTTCACATCTGATCATTTCATTAAATTATCATGGCTTGTTTTATTAGGCATTGTCAGAGGAAGAAAAGTCAGTTAAAGAGGTTAAGGAGGTAGGCTATTGAATAGTTACTGTAATGAATATATGGACGTGTATGTGATGTCTTCATCATGTTCATGTAAACAAATATTTAATTTACAGATCATTTTGTTAAAAGATGCACTATGCAAAACATTATTTCATGAAACTTAATTTGTAGGCAATTAGAGTAATTTTCATGTTGAATGAAAAATATTTTTTTTCTAATATACATAGTCTAACATGTAATACATTTTATTTTTAAAATAAGTCTTAGTGCAGCATTTCAATGTGAAGAACATTTCAAGTTACTGTAACATTTTTCAATATTTTATTTTTAAACAAAGCAGAAAGTATTTCCTAAAGATTCTTTTATATCAATAAATGATATACACGTACCAGGATTGAGATTACAACAGTACTGAAGTTTACATTTCATGAAGATCAACTAAATAATCTAAAGTTAAATATTTTACTTTAAAAAATATTTTTGTTTTCAGAGTGCACCTTTGAATAACAGTGGCCCAGCCTTGTCTAACTGGTTTGCTGAAGTTATCGAGCTTCGACAGAAAGCTGCTGAGTACAAGAAACGAGCCCAGGGAACTCACTTCTCTCGTGAGCACCTGGTCCAGCTCATTGCTCAACAGACCCAAGCCTGGGACAGTCTGAGCACCACTCGCAGTGGAACAAGCACACTCTCAGCTCTCTCACTTGAGTCTGGATTGAGTGCCAGGGAAAGAGCAAAGTAAGCATCTAATATTTCAAGTACAACATTGCTTTTGTGTTTGATTTTTGCTCACAAATTTCACTTTTGTGTATTTTATGGATTGTGTGATTTATCAATAAGAGCTCAGCATGTATTCAATTAATTTCAGGGTAAATATGCTGCAATACATGCATGTACAAATTAAACTGTTTTTTAATGTATTTTTAAGTGTTTGTTGAATGATTATTAAAATGCATATTTTCTTAATATTTTAATTAGACATTGCAGAATTATACATTGCATAATTAGAAACACATTTTTACAATTAAAAGAATACACATACTTATGTGTACATGCAAACTTTCAGGCAGGAGTTAAAAACAGCTGAAGAAGCAAATACTGATAATGAAAAGCCAGGGGATAAACAAGCAAAACCAACACAAACAAAAATGGATACTGACAAACCTTCAGTTTCTAAGAAAACAAAGCTCACACTGACAAATACTGATAACAGAAAAGTAGTTGCTAAGGAGGCAAGCAAATCCCAAATAAAAATCTATAACAAAGATCTAGACTTAAAATGCCCCAACCAAACCAAAATTGATAAAACTGAAATTAGGCAGGAAAGCAATCAGACACAACAACAATCAAAATCTTTACCAGAAAAAATTGATAGTAAAAAATCTCAGAATAAAAACCCTAGTCATTGTCCTGATAAACTGGATCCCAAAACTCAACAAGTACAGTCTCTTGAAAAAGAGAATAAAGAAACACAAGCATCAACTAAGATTGTGGGTATTGAAGCAGTGGAGAGTAGACCATTACAAGGTTCCAAGAATTTTGACTCCAGACAAACCAAAGAAACAGTCAAGCCACTTAAAGTGTATGTCCATGTAGACAGTAGATCATAGATTTCCCTTCCTTTTACTCTGTATTTACTCAATAGAGAGCATGGAAGATATATCATAAATAGAGACCTTATAAATAGGTATAGTTCTGTACGGAAGCAAACATAAACATATCTTATCAATGTATTCAGACTTTCTTGCAAGTTATCATGGTTACATGTATAAAGCTTGCATGTTTATCTTCTAGCACATTTACTTGGACATGTATACCAAGTTTGAACTACTTTGTAGGATGGCATAAAGCCACATTTGATAGTTTAGAATTTTGCTAGTTTATTTCGCTATTCTAAGAGTAGTTCACAGGGGTATGTATTCACCCATTCTCAGTGATTGTATCCTTCATTTTCTGTTTCTTCTAGATATACTTGAATTTAATTGGTAGATCAATTTTTGAACAAAAATAGAACCAATACTCATTATATGAATATAGTGTGGTTGTAATGGTTTGATTCTATTTCGTAGTATATATTATATATGTACTTGGGTATATTTCTTTATTTAATTTAGCAGTCATTCTTTTCATTTATTTGTTGCTTTATACCAGTTAATGATTACACAAGAACAATTTTTTTCAATATTTGTGACAGGCAATTGATTGGGAAAAAAATATCAGATTGAATTTTTGACAGTTGAAAATTTGTTTACAGTCACTGTGATATTTTTACTCAAAAATCCATACATCCTTGTATGTCTATAAAATTTTTGATTCAGATATGAACTGTCTTTTTTTTTGGTTTCAATTCATATAAAAATATTCTCTGATTTATTTCTGTACAGAGCAATGGCCAGTAGAAATGGGGATGACATATCTATGATGGCTCATGAGGGATCAGATGAAGAAGCAGGAAAGCCGGACTTTGTACCAGAGAAACATCTAGACCTCACAGCCACCAAGGGAAGTAAGCAGAGGAAACAGAGGAAGAAGGCTTGGCAGAGAGAGGAAGCAAGGTACAATTGTATGGTATTGAACAGGTGGAAAGGGGTTTGCATAAAGAAATCAAAACACAAATATGAACTAAACTTCAAAATAAGATAGAATTTCCTCTGTTATTTTAAATATTATTTTCTCTATACCCCAAAAACAAAACAAATTAACCCCCCCCCCCCCAAAAAAAAAAAATAATAATAAAAAAAATTTAGTGATTTCATAGCAGCTGAATTTGAGACTTGAGTATAGTCCTAGTATAAAAATATATAAATAAAAGAATGATGATATTAGCAAATTGTTTGATTGAGATATTTTTTTTATTATGAACAGGGAAGCAGACCAAGATAATGTGTCTTTATTGTCAAATGTGGGGTCAGATATTTCCAGATCTGATATATATCCTCAAAAGACTGAAATACGAAGAGGAAGGAAGAAGCAGAGGGGCAGGAGGAGGAGAGAAGAGGAAGATGTCAGGTAGGAAGAAAATCGGTTGTGGGAGGGGAAAATGCTGTAAGGGGTAAATGTATGAATTATTACTAAAAGAGGGAAGGGAGACTAAGTGTGGTTGAAAATTGATTTAGATTTTTTTCGTTACGACTTGTGTGAAAATTTAATGTTCATTGGACTTACTTGAATATTTTTGTGTTTGGAAAACAATTGTTTGTCTGAATAGAATGGAAACTGCAATTAAGCTGTCAGTTTTGCACAGTATGAAGTTCTAAATGGATTTGTTCCTGAAAATGTACATTTCTTTATCAACAGTGACCTAACCCCTGTACCAGAACTCTCCTCTGACAAAGGCAGAATCCCCACCCCTAAACTCAGGTCAAAGAGTGCTGGTGCTAGACATCACCTGGACAGGACCACACCAGTACTGGGAGGGGCCATCCTGTCCTCACCCCCAAGGCCAGAGAAATCATCCCAGATGAAGGTCAGCAGGTCATGGTGCACACCACAAGGTAATTTATCAATAAAACCAATTTTCTTTTTAATATGTTTCGTACATGTATTACATGTACTTAAAAAGAAAAGAACATTGCTATATATTGTAGCACTTGTAAACTGTATTGCATCACTTTCATTTATAGATTTATCATTATTGAATTGAAAATAATATATTCTGGAAATTGTATCACAATGAAAAATACAAATGCATTTAATAAAAATTTATCGAAATTGTTTAATTGTTTTGTTTCTGTAAAACATTCTTTAAAATAATGATATATAAATTCTAGCATTTTTTACAATGTCTTTATAATACCTGTTTGATAAAAAAAATAGTTCAAATCTTACAAACACTAGGTAGTTGTTATGATTAGAAGAATTTTCACTGATAACTTTGTGACTTGGTGTATTTTTTTTTCAGATGTTTATGATGATGAAGTCAGTACAATTATCAGCAGTGATAGATTTCAACCTGTGGCTGGTCAAAGTCAAACAACGGTATTACATCAATTTTATCAATTTATTATTAAATGAAGATGCCAAAAATCTTTTTCATGACTATTTGGACATGGTGTGTGAGTTGTTGTTGAGAAATATATATATATTATTATAACAGTAACTTGATCCGAAGGGTCGTATCACGTTGAGTTGACAGGCGCGGATCATCAGATCTAACGAGACGCGAAGTGTCGAGTTTGATCTGATGATCTGCGCCTGTCAACAAGACGTGATACGGCTCTTTGGATCAAGTTACTGTTATAATAATAGATTTATTATATACCCCCTTATAACTGGCTAAATATATTTAAATAAACCTTTAGAGATAAATTGGAAAATATTAATCCATTAAACACAGCATAATAACAAGGGACTTTTTTAAGCGCAAGAAAAATAACGTCATATTTCTGCGTACTACGTCATCAGTTTCAGAGAGTGGTGATATGGATTCAGAAAACCACAGTGTGGTGATCCGGAAAATCGGATCAAACTCTGTAAAATTAACAGTAACAAAAACAAGGAAATTGATGGGTATATAATAAATCTAAAAGCCTGTACCTGTAATTTGAAAATACAGTAAAACAGTATAAACTGGACATGACTGGTTCCAAAGAATTAGACAACCTTCTGAATTACACATATTGAAGAAAAGAATTTATTGAAATAAACTTTAAGTGTACATCATAATAAGCAAGATTTTAGATAATACAACATCCAGATCAGACTAGTTTCACTGTAACTGTTATTTATCTAAGGACATCATGTGGTTTTTCAGGATATTATAGGAATTATTGCATAGTACAAGACTTTTTTGAGAAACGGACAGACAAATACATTAATTTTCTCCATTATACATTTACAAGTAGTGATCTTTCTTGAATGGCCCTGACTTCTGATTAATTTACATTGCTGCTTTTTATCTAATAAACTTATTTTTTTTAAATTCAGCCTTTTGTTGCTACACAAGTCCCTATTTCGATATCGCCCACATTTGGCCTTCCCTCCAAGGATACCCACATCTTACGAGACGATGAAGTCAGCGTAGACAAACCTTTAGAGACAGTGTTTGTAGACAGCCCAGCCAAGATCAGGCCAACCATTGAAGGTTTGTACCTCTTAATTATAAAATTTTGGACTGTATTTAAAGTTCTCGAGTATTAGTTTGCCTTTAAATAAATTTTGAAAGTAAAATTAAGTGAATTCAAATACAATAACATTGGTTCCTTTTTACTTAATTTCGCGACCATTTCTCTTGTAACAAAATTTTTATAATTATAAAATGTAATATTCTAGGTAAGAAATAAAATTTAAATAATATATGTTCCATAAATCTGGAAAATTTTATGTCACTTTTTTTTTTTGCGAATTCGGGTCAAAATGCTGTTGATGAATTTTTACTTTTTAAAATTTTGCGATTGACCACTGCTTTGTTTACAGTTCTTATTGATAATTTATTTTTAAGAAAAATATTTTTGCGAATGTTATGAACTTGCAAATTTGCTAAAAAATTTATCTACAGCAAAAATTTCCAGATTTACGGTATTTTTTACTTGATAACTTATGACTTGACAATGTATACTTGAAAACTGATATTTTTAAAAAGAGAAATATCTGATGTATATGACTTTAAATTTAATTTGTTCTTTCAGCTGTAAGTGGTGGGGAAAAGCCAGCAAGAAAAGGCAAAAAGCCGACAAAATTTGAACCACAGCAGGCAATCAACGAGGGATACGGACAGACCTACAACAAGCCCATGTCATGGGGCATTGAAGGAGGTGAGCTTTGTTAATGTACAAATATTCAAAAAGACTGTACATGTAAGGAAATGGCTTTATAATCTTAGGATTGCACACACATAAGAGATGTAGTTCTCATCTTTGTTTATCAATGGAGGGAAAGTATAATGAAAAGAATGTTGAATGGTAGGTTTTTAGACAAATATGTATTATAATTATTTTTTTCAATATAGTAATTCCCTGATATACAAATTAAAGTTAGTGACTATATTGTTGCATCTGGAGAATTTATAAAATTAAATACATGGACATTACAAACTCTTTCACAAATTTTTATAAAAGCATTAGAATAATACTGTAAATCATGTTTTATTTTCGCATTATTACCCGAGACATTTAGCTCGCGAAAATTTCCTTCTCTCGTTTAAAAGTATTCCTTATGATTATATAGAGGAAAACAATAATTCGTGAAAAATATGTCTCGCTAATAAAGAGTTTTTGCCATAAATGATTGAACATAATTATGTATATAACAAAGCTGGAAAATATTTATTTCTAGTTCTTCATGTTTTTTCTCTTTACAGGATTGCCCATACCAAGGATAGATGATGATGTGCTATCTCTGTCAGCCAGGTCTATAGCGTCTAGCTGCTCTCTAGCGTCAGAGGTTTATGAGAGAGCCCAGAAACGCACCAAGGAATTCTGGGGGAAAGATGGCATTGCTTCACGATAAAATGATTATTAGTCTTAGTGCATGTGTACCTAAAGCAGAACTGTGATACTGAAATACATGTATGTTGTAGGATATTTTTATTTTAATTTGCACTTAATGTGTCAATTTCCGTCCATAGTTTATGGCAGCAAATTGAATGATTGGTATTTATGTCAGGTTCCAAAGGAAGTAAAGTATATCTTATGATGAAGGATTAATAAAAGAGTATAGTTTTTACAGTATGAATGAAAGACGTAGAATTATGTCACAATTTTACAGAATTTTCAGTAATTACATTTTAACTTTTCATGAGGCATTAAAAATGTTTTGGAACTGAGTAATTTTGTAAACAATTTCATGTATGATATTGAGATTTTTTTTTTTCTAATTTAATTTTTTACAAATATTTGTTCATGTTGTTTCTTTTGTCTTTTTTTTATTTTTCTTTTATCAAGTGCTTTTTACTGATATCACTATTTTGTTTAACTTGAACTTTCTTAAAAAAGACTGAAGGATTAATTTTCAAATTTCTCAACATGTATCTGAGGAAAATTTATTAATATCCTGAGCCCTCCCATACTTATGAGATCTGCCATGAATTTTTAATCAATTAGATACCTTTATCCGTACACGTACATGTTACTGTACTTGTATATTCTATGACTGGTATATAATTGCCTTATTTTAATAAAATGTATTATGATTTTTTTCTTCTTTCATTTTTACAGCTATACTTCATGTTTTATTTTAATTATTTATGTATTTTAAGTAATTTTTCATTTGTTTCATTGAACCTCATTAAAATACACATGTATTTCAATCTGTACATCACTAGTACTGAGAACCTTAATTAAATTATTTGAAGTTATTGTTATTAATTAAAAGGTTGCATGAATGTGTTAAGGTTGCATAGCTAGATATACAGTACTGTTATTTTTTCTTCTTGTATATTTGTGTTAAGTGTACTAATCATAGATTTGTTATGTGTAGTTGTTGGAGCATGCTTAAAATTTGTGTTAGAAAGATATTTAGAAGAATATATTCTTTAAAATGTAATTGCTGATTTAGTTTTGATTTAACAAAGGAAGAGTTTGAATGTTCAAGAAAGAACTGTTGCAACCACTACTGAAATAACGACCACTATTAAAATAATTATATCAATAGTGGATGAGAGTGCATTTCAATAACAAACATAAGTGATAACCACTATTGAAATACTACCACTATTTAAATAATTATTTCAATAGTGGGTGAGATTCATGTCAATAACAAACATAGGTTGCAACCACTATTGAAATAATGTTCACTTTTGAAAGAAAGATTTTAATGTGGATTAGATTATGGTAACATTTTAGTTTTGAAGAATTATCAGCAATTTCCAAAAAGAATTAATATTTAAATCACTTTTTTAATTATACATGTAAATGTATAATTTCAATAACTATCTACCCAGTCAGCATTCATATATTGGCCCAACGTTGGTAGAGTAACGGTCTGTTGGGTCAAGGTTGGTGTTGATATAACATGATTGGGCCAATGTTAGATATTATCTCTTAGTGGCAATATCAGCATATTCGTTGTTGGGCCAATGTTGGCCCAATGTATTTTAATCTCACATAAGTTGTCGTGACAACATACATTGGTTTTACATTGTTGGGCCTACATTGGCCCGATGTATGTAATTTTCGCAGAAATTACTATCTTTTTCATTGGTTCTGCATCGTTGGACTTACGTTGGCCCAATATTGAATACTGAACATAATGAACATATGCAGGTGTACAACGATTGGGCCAGCGTTTTTAAAAAAAAGAATTTTTTAAGGACAGATGATAAAAACCATATATGGATGATGGATTGGTATATATTTTAGGTCTGATTTCATTGAAAATGATCCAATTATGTTTTTTCATAATAAAATATTGTTTAAATTAAATTGAAAATGATGCAAATAATAAATTTCTAGAATATAAAGAAATTATTAACCTTTTGTGATGTTCAAAATTTTGCCTCACTAAAACCATCCTTATTAATTTACACACCTTAATTTTAACCTATATATTTTTCACCCCAAATCCAATTTTTGTGAAATTTTGGATAAAAAAATTACGCGGTGAAAATTTTCTTTCAATACTGGTCGTATTTCAGTAGTGATTGAAACCTATGGTAATCATATTGAAAAGCACTCTTCCCTACTATTAAATTATAATTTCAAAAGTGGTCGTATTTCAATAGTGGTTGAATCCTATGGTTATCATATTGAAATGCACTCTCACCCACCATAGAAGAAATTATTTCAATAGTGGTCGTATTTCAAAGGTGGTTAATATTTAAAATTGTTATTGAAATGCACTCTCAACCACTATTGATATAATTATTTCAATAGTGGTCGTAATTCAATAGTGAGTATTACCTGTTTTTGTTATTGAAATGCACTCTTACCCACTATTGAAATAATTATTTCGATAGTGGTCACATTTCAATAGTGGTTACTAACTATGTTTGCTATTGAAATGCACTCTCATCCACTATTGATATAATTATTTCAATAGTGGTCGTTATTTCAATAGTGGTTGCAACAAAGCACTCATTTTTCGACATTGCTTTGTCCCTAAATATTGTAAGCCAATGACAATTCTTACGTCGATTTCAAAAGTTTAATTTTAATTAATCCAATTTACAATTTTCTTTGTGATCGTATAGTTTTAGAAATATTCTGAAATATGATCAAAAAAAGACCAATACACTTTTTATATAGATGTCCAAAGGATCCGTCCAAAATATAAAGAGTTTAAGACCGAACTCCAAATAAATAGATAAACAAAAGTCCAAAAGAATGATTCCCAGAATAATAAAATGCCAAAGAAGTGTAATAGTTTGAGAATAAAACCGGGAATACTCTTTTCTGACTAAAACAGGGTATTTTGTGCTCAGTGGGTATCCATGGTCCCAGATATAAAAATATATTTCATTGGCTAATTCACCATCACTAACCACCTAGGCTTTGTCCGTAGGTCTGTCCGTTGACCTATTAACCCCAACATGGCACCGCCCTCTAATACAGGTAAACACTCATTACTAATATTTATGGGCTCAGTCCCAATCTCTGCACCACAGGAGTTCTAGCCTTAAGCTCTTTTACTTACTTACTTCAAAGTTCCCAATTTTATTGTTCTTAGTCAAAACTCTTAATAATACCATTGTATTTCCGTTCAAATTCTATTACTTACTATCGATGGGCTTGATTGGTCTATTCGGATCAATTTCATTACAAAATGATCTAACAAATTTTAGTGCATTTGAACAACACCAAAATCCAATTTGTTTTGACAAGATAATAATTGTTTACAGAATAAAGTCCTCTTTCCAATTATAAAGTCACCCAATCTGCGTCACTTATAATATCCATTCTGATTTAATAAACCTTTATCTCATTTTATTTTAACTGCTAAAAACTAAAAATGATTATGTTATTAATATTGTCTAAGTTTAAAATGTTCACACAATATGTCTCTGCTAAACCCTATAGGTATACATTCGTCCCCACACACTAAGAAATTTCCCTGGCGAGTGGAAATTTCTCTGTTAGATCCGGAACAAAATTTAAACTTAGTCACAAATTATTTCGTTCACAAGGTAAGAAGTAATCCCGCGGCACTGTTTACCTTTTATTAAACAAAATTCAAAGTCTTCGAAGATAATAGTCACGATGTCTTTATTGTTAATTGCATACAGTAGTCGCACAGCATAGGAAATTCGCGGACGTCTTCTTCTTGTTTCCGAATTAAAGTCCAATATATACGGTTACATTGATTATATAAGTCCAATATATGTGTCCAATATATGTCCACCTAACAACTCTACGTGGATATATGGTTTTACTACCGTTCACTACTGGAACCTTCACTTCTCCTCGCTAAACTTGTTCGCTTTGGAATCCATTTTCTCATTCCACACTTAGGTATAGATCAAAATTTAGTTATATTCCACATTAATATAAGTAACATACGTCACCGTGTTACTTTTCAAGCTCAACCAGCGGATACAGTCCTGGTGATTAAGTAGATGACGGAGTGCAATCAACACCACTCAAGGCGGTAGTATCGCCCTTCAATTGCAAATTAGAAGCCATCAGTGTATCCCGTACTTTTAAGTTTAAATTTGAGTCCATTAGTGAATTCCAAATAAAAAAAATGTTTTTTCCTCAGCGTCAGAATTTGTTATTGACTTATTAGTTGTAGGTACATTCATTCAAAAGTACAACACATATCAGTAAATATCATTAGTCTCCAACGCTTTCTTCATCTATAAGCATCTCCAAATGACTGCTATCACCTGTCGTATTCCTCATTTCCACGACTTCTTGTGATATCCACAGTATTTATACTCAAAACATAACCACGGCACTATCCTTTTCACAATCGCATCCTCACAGCGAATTAAACTCAGGATAAGTACAAAAACTTATGACGGCCCATTAACACTGGGTCAGACGTAATCACCGTCCTTGGTATCAGACCAACGTCATATAAAAAATAAATGCCTCAAATTTAGTCCACGATAAATTCCAACGTATTGTTTGATTCAGTGTTGCACTTTTCTCGAGATTTCAAAACTTCAAAACAAATCTAGTCAATTTTCAAATTCAATGATTTAAAAAAAAAATGTGAAAACAAATCTGACATGAACTTCATTACCATTTTCTCTTGCCTGTCCATTACCAGATTTTGCATAATTTCTCTTTTCTTTTTTTTAAAACAACATTGATTACAAGCGAACTTCCATCACTGCATATGTACAAAACTCCTTGTGTAGAAATTCACTATTAAGATGATTTTTTTTTAATTTTCCAATATCATTTACTTTTATTCTTTTAAACAAGGAATCAATACTATGATATAAAGTTATTTACTTTACATAAAATTTCAGATGTTCCTTCATTTTTGAAACTTTTCCTGAATAAATTATAAATATCCTTTAAAGCAAAACAAAGCAATAAGCCAAAAATTTTTCCGAAAAATCTTATTAAAAAAATCAAAATATGGTCAGGCTACAGATACTTATGGGTCAGAAATTTACGTCCTACCTTGCCACATTTTCCCTCCGCGTTTGACAGTTTAGTTATACTTCGCATCGCCTTGGTAGTAAGTAGCGAATTGACTTGGTAATACTTTTCCATTCCTTGTTCCTAGCATTAATTAAATTCACAGTTCTTTTTTCAGTCTTGATCACAAATGTTGATTGATTACAGTACTTCGCAAATCCTGGTCAACGAGCACCAAATTGACTTGTAGGATGTAAGCCAATGACGAAAACTTGTCTTCGTTTTCAAAAGTTTATTAAATGAGTCCAATTTAG